CAGAGAGGTCTGTGTATCAGAATAACTGGAAAGATTTTTCAAACTACTCCTTGCCTTGCTCCTTCCTTCCATCACCAGCTGAGAATCATGACTAAAGGAAGCTTTGGTGGCTGGTGCCATCAAGTAAGGGACATAAGTGTTGAGTTCTAAGTAGTGGGAGATTTACACCCAGGTGATTAAAGTGAAGGGCTTTGGTTTCAGGGAGATCTGGGTTTAAATGTTGGCTCCATCCCCTTATTAACTAAATATCTTATATAACTTACTTCACCTTTTAAAGTTTCCGTTTCCTCACCTGTAAAGCACCTGCCCTTAAGGTTGCTCTGTGTCTGCCACTTAGTGCTCAATAGTTTTGCCTTTGGTTCATTGGTAACTCTGACCTTAATGATCCATTCTGAACCATGGATTTAAGGCAATATTTGTCATCCTATGAATTTACCAATTATTTCTCTCCTAAATGATTAATAAATGTAGAATCCTTGTGAATATATATGCTTAAATATAGATTTTTAAGACTGTAAATACCACAAAGATTACCTTTAAAAAAATCTTAATTTTATGGATGGGGAAACTGAGGCTCAGAAAGGCAAGATATTTACTCAAAGTTGCAGGGAAGATATGTACAAGGATCAGCACTAGAGCCATATCTTCTGTCTCCAGTTCAGCACATTTTAGTTCTTGCCTCTCTCAAACCACACAGTTAATAAAAGTAAATATACTTCTGCCCTAGCTGGTTTGGCTCAGTGGATAGGGCGTTGGCCTGCGTACTGAAGGGTCCCAGGTTCGATTCCAGTCAAGGGCACATGCCTGGGTTGTGGGCCCAACTCCAATCCCCAGTAGGGGGCGTGCAGGAGACAGCCAATCAATTATTCTCATCATTGATGTTTCTATCTCTCTCCCTCTCCTTCCTCTCTGAAATCAATAAAAATATATTTTTAAAAAATAATAAAAATATAAAAATAATAAAAGTAAATATACTTCCTTACAGTGGTTCTCCACCTTCCTAATGCCGCAACCCTTTAATACAGTTCCTCATGTTGTGGTGACCCCCAACCATAAAATTATTTTCGTTGCTACTTCATAACTGTAATTTTGCTACTGTTATTAATCGTAATGTAAATATCTGATATGCTATATGTGTTTTCCGATGGTCGCGGCCCACAGGTTGAGAACCGCTGCAAAAAGTCTATATAGAGAATGTTATTTCCTTTCTATGGGAAAATCAGTGACATCATCACAGAAGACAAGAAAAATCCTGCGAGATGGCCCTCATCCAGCTAATAAAATAATTGGCACAGAAAGGGATAGAAAATATCCCCTATCGTGGCAGAGAAGGCAGCCAAAGACACAGGGACGATGCCTGACAGCCTGGATTCTAGGGTGCAGATAGAGACCCACACGGTGAGGGAAAAGGTGGTGAATTTCATATTCCTTACTGTGTCCCAAATCCGTTTCCCCAGACTGGTCCTGAGTTTTAAGCATCTATGCCTCCCTTAAGGACTCACAAAATTTCCAAAAGCTCCATGTATTTTTACACGGCTACTCCCTCGAATTCTTGACTCCTGCCCACGTAACTAGTACAGACATTCGTGTATCTGCAGTGGACTGATATTGCCATTCCCCTGCCCTGGTGAACATGGATGTGCCCGGGCCCACATGGAATTCAGGAAGCAGAATGAGGGTGGTGACTAACACCATGAAACCTTACCCTCAAGTCAGCAAATGAAGGCTAGAGCTGTGCCTCTTAAAAACAGGACCCAAGGATCTTCTGGGCTCCCACCACAGGGCAGGGCACCGACCCTGATTGAAGAGCTGGACTACAAGTCTGATTCACAGGACCAAGTGGAGTGGAGGGGAGGTCACAGAACTGGAAGCACACCCAGTCCAGTTCTGGACACCTGCCCGTCTGCCCACGAATGACCACTGTGGAATCGAAGGCACGCGGACTGCGCCAAAAACTCAGCCTGAAGTCTCCATACACGGCCCAGCCCTGCAACCACAGCGGTCTCCATTCCAGCCCTGGCTACCATCCGGAAGGCATCTGTTGCCTCCCGCTTGGCCTGCAGCTCTGTGGTCCCAGTATAACCCAGTGGCCATAAATCTCCATCTCTGCTAAATGTCACCCTACTTCTAACTCTAACTGACTGCAACTTGCCCTTTGGGAAAACAGCTTTACTCCTGAGTGCTCTCCGCTAAATGAGTGCCACCTTGTCTCTTTCCTCCACATCATCATTATAATTAATAAGCAACAATATCATCCCTGGTGGTTATGTTATTATTAGGTGTTAACTGGCCTTAGCATCATTATCTCATTAAGCCTTTCCACCTAAATTACTTTATCAGCTTCCCTCCGAAGGGGGTCTGGTCCTGTCTGGCTGAAAGGATTCCCCTGCATGAACACACAAAAGCACAAGGATAATCAGGGGCAGTTAGACCCGTTCCAGACATTAATCATCTTGAAAAATCAATCTTATTTCTACTACTAGGAATATATATGTTACATTGCTATCAATCCTCTCATCCAAGTGCTTAAAGCAATACTCAGAAGCTTTTTAACTCACTCATTTTTATGAGGAAAAAAGGTTGAGGGAATACATTCTAAAATATTTACTACAGTTAAAATCCCCCCCCCCCATCACTGCCCACATTTCCATTTGGATAAATTTTCTCCAGTTCTTTCAGTAAGAGGCTGAATTTCAACATTTTCATAGAAAAGGCTATGGACAGATTTGCTTGTTTAGTCCCTACTTCAGTGGTGATGCAATCTCTTCTTCAACTCCCCCCAATAGTGCCTATTAGCTTTCTTTCCTTTCATAGTGTGCATTTTATAATTTGGCCTTTTGTAAAAGGGAGAGGAGGACAGTTTTATTCACAGATGGAGAACATGGACTAATGCATTTCTCTAGAAATGCTTTCCTTCCTGAGGACTTACTGCTTCCTCTGTTGTCCTCGCAATTTCATGTTGACCATGAACTCTTTTCATCTTGTCTTTCTTTATTTCTAGGTTGTACATGTTTTCCAAAGGTTGGGAGACATTCTACCAGGAGTTCAGACTTGCCTCTTGCAGGCATTAGTCACGTTTTGCTTTCCATCCCCATTACCTCCCCACTTCCTAGCCTTAATCATCGTCCATGTAATTCATCATTCATCCTCGCTTTCCCTAGTAATTTCCTATTTTTAAATGTCTTATTATCTCATATTCCTCATTACCCTCATTATCCTTCCAACTCTGTTGTTCATTTAATTTTCTCACAAACTGTGTAGTCTTATTTGGTTTGTGGCATTTGTTCCCCCTTCCTTGTCCCCAGTCCATAAGTCATCTCTCTCCCCTCTTCTGCTTTCGGAGTTCCAAGTTTTTTTGTTGTTTTTTTCTGAAGGTGCAGGCATGGTTTGAAATGGTGATGAATCTTAATGTCCCCAGACTCTCTTCTTACTTATTTACTTAGGTTTTTTTATTTTATTTTTATTATTGACACTATTTGCCCACCTCCATCCAGCCCCCACACCCCCTTCCCTCTGGGTATGATCACACTGTTGTCTGTGTCTGTGTGTCAGGCATATATGTTATTTAGCTAATCCCTTCCCTTTCTTTCATCCAGTCACCCCTCTCCTCCTCTTTGACAACTGTCGGTTAATATTTAATAGCAATTTTCATTCCAAGGGGGAAATCATCATTCTCAAGTCTTCCCACAGAGGCAATCAAATATACGAGGTCTTTTTTCTAGTTAATTTGGGATACAAATCTCAAGTGAAAGACTTCACAGTTGGATGGTGTACATTCTTCCTTCCTTTAGCAACTGAGCCATGGCCAAAAACACATAGTAGACACTCTGAATTTATGTCATTTGAACCTTTTCTCTCAGGGATTTAAAGTAAATCCCTAAATGCAAATCTTGCTGCCATCAAACTTTCTGGCAATGCTCAGCCTCTTTTCCTAGAAGAGCATGATGGTTGTTTTTTTAATGTTTTGTTTGTGTTTTGTTTTGGAAACTCCGCGGGCTTCAGGACCTTCTTTCTTTTCTTTTGATCTTCCTTTCCTCCTCCTGAAATCTCAGGATAAATGATTTTAGCATCTCTAGAGACACTTCCCTTTATTTTGTCTATGTTAGGATCCTTCCTCATCTCATCTCTTTCCAATGATGCCTTCCTAGTTCAATTGATAGGGACCAATTCCCATTTTTGCAGTCTCACCTTTGTATTCTCCCTCGCTTGCCCACCATCACTTTTACTCCACACACACACTCTATTTCTGGCCCTGACCAAGTTCAGCAGTTTGTGTGGCTGCTGCAATTCTCACAGCGTGTCTCCCAGGTCAAGAGGGTGGCCTTCTTGTTCCCACAATGCCCTTCATTGTGGGCAAAGGAAATGTTGGCATCGTGGTGCTGGCAAAGGAAAAGCATCATGATCACCGACTTCGTTAGTGATGACACCAAGGCAATGGAGGTAAACACGTTGACCCAGGGACAGCTCATTACCACGCCATGATTAAAGGAAAAATTGGGGTAATTTCTCAAACTTGAACTAGCTGCCTATTGTCTTTCTCTGGAGTTCTATGTTCACTTTTCAAAGCTTATTGATTTTCCTATTCCATCATAGGTATATGATGTCTTACACCAGAAAAAGTTTAGTAAATTGAAACCACTAAAACCTAACATTCATTTTCATGTGATTATGACTGTACTCTCATTCTAAGCTAGCCAAAGTTTTACATTGCCTGTACAGTGGGAAAGCCCACTATGTTTCTTTGAAAAGAATCAGGTTCCTCTGCGTTAATCCTTTCATATGGGACCCTTTTTTTCTACAATTTTTTTCTAAAATATGACCCTTTTCCCCCTCACTATTATAATTCACACACAATTTCTCTGGAGGGTATGATATAGTCTAATTTTCTTCATTATTCAATTTGGATCCTGTTAAGTGAGACAGGCATTCATGACAAGAAAGAACATTTAAATTTTGGCTAATAAGTTCATTAGTATTCAGAAAGCTTTGTGCCCCCCATATTTAATAAATCTTTCCATTACAGAGTAAGAAATTGCAAAATAGTCAAACAAATTAGCAGTGGGGGCACCAAGAGAGCACATCCATCCCTGATTCAGAGATGTCTTCGTTTATCAGTTTTCTGTCAATCAGTAAAACAAGAAAGATGAAACATGCAATTATATACAAGGAGACAGGACTCCTAATTCTTTCACCCGAGCTGAAGCAGAAGAGTTTTAATTGCTTTGAAAAATGAGATTTTTGTTTTCTCTCAAGAGGGACGGAGAAAACAAATGTAAATTGCCTTAGAGTCGATGGCTGGAGCTGCAGGACTTGACTATGCAAAGCAGAGGTGGGAAGGCCAGTCCATCATCTGTCCTCTGTCTTCACAATGGCCAATGTCCAGATATTTGGAAATACGAGATGGTTGACAACGTTCCCTCTTCTGCTGCAGCTCCTTCAGCACGTAAGAAAAAAAAGTTCCCTTTTCATTGCAATGTTTAGAGTCATATAGATTTACTGATACTGTTTCTGCTTAATGGGAGTAACACTGCACTAAGGTATTTGAATATGCTGTCATTTATTCTGGGATCAATTTTTCATTTATTTGAGTTACTAGGCCCTTTGTTTCTCTCCTAAGTCCTGGCAGCCATCCAATCTTATGAACTTTACACTATTTTTAGCATATTTATAAGAAGGAAAGTAAGGACAAGGAGAAGAGATGAAGCACTAATCAATCCATTTATTAATGTTGCACATGTGCAAAGAATGAAAGCAAAAGAGAAAATTAAAGCTGTTGGCTATGGAGAGTTATAGGCATTAACCAGAGGTATCCATACACTCCTTGACCTCAAATGGGAAGTGAAATTGAGAGTCAAAAGTAATTAATTCCACCATTTAAGCCAGACATTGAAGTCTCTAAAACTATTTCCTAGGGTAAAATTCTCAAACCAAACAGTTTGTGTAAGCAATTCTAATTAAGAGATTTCATAGATTTATTTTTCTATAAACTTGCTGCACTTAGAGATATATGTCAAATAGAATTGTTAATGATGGAAGAAACAAAAATGAGAAGTCGTTTACATGGGATTCACGTTGGGGTAAGAATTGATAGCAATATCTTTTTGTCTGATTACTGTTGGGGTTTTTTTCATTTTAAAGAGGCCACCAGCCATAATGGATACATGAAGCACAATATGTATGAAAGATGTTTATTTATTGAGAGGGGTTTTTTTAAGTTTAGATTCTCCCCACCTGGGCAGAAATGGGGTGCAGGAGATGGGATAGAGAGTAGCCATCACTGTATGGAAGACTGTCCCTCCACAGATGTATATCCCTAGAAGTAAAAGACTGTCTCTTCCTTTTATCTGGACCTAGATCTCTTCATGGTGACCCTGGGCCTAAGGCATCTCAAAATAGTTTGAGTGGAATGGGGCATCCGTCTGTAGCTCATTACCCTGGGAGTACCACCAGCACACCCCCTTGGGTCATGGCTGATTCTCACTGAAAGGAAGGCCAGCAAGTGAAAGGAAGAAGGATTGTGTCCCCTCTCCTATGAAAGCTTCTGGAGTATAGGAAAATGTCAGGTTTACCTTGGATCTGCAAACCTATCATACACCTGGTACAGAGCACATGGTATATGCTTAGTAGAAATGTGATGAAAGAAAGGAGAGGAAGAAAGGCAGGGGTAGAAGAAAGGATGAAGGAGGGAATGAAGCTGCTATGGGCTCTACAGGGTATGTTTTAGAACCTTCTCAACTCCAAAGGGGAAAGGCAGACTCATTATATCCTACAAGGTTGATAAACAGCCCCCCCCCCCGAAAAAAAAAAAAAAAAAAGCCTGTCAAGTGCAGATCTACTTGACCTGGCAGCTTAGGAACAGGAGTTAGAAACAGTTGGCAACCACAAATTGTCCAGTAGTCTGGGGCCTGGTGTTAACATTTTTAGAGCTTGAAGGGGTCTTGGAGTCACCCAAGAAGCCTCTGAGTGGATTGTGATGTGACTTGCCCACAATCACATAGCTTGTTAGCATTAGAATAAAGACTAAAACCTGGGTCTCAAATTTTCCAGCCCAACATTTCTCACACTGCAGTTTTCCTACATAAAACATGATAGCTGGTCTCTGAATTCTGTCCCTTCTTATTTCCCTCCCCAAGAGCATTTTCCTAATCTGAGCTCCTTCCCTTGACACCATGAGACTTTATACTGCTTGCTAGGGAAACAGTCCACGCTGGTTCACAGAGCATTACTAGAATGCAGCTTATATGTCTTATAATAGCATGGCCCCTAGGCATGACTAATTGGAAACCGGGGCTCAAAAATATATTTCTGGCCACTTGTTTGCTGTGGCCACTGCTCTTCACATTTAAGAGAAAGCAAAAATATAAGTTTCATGAGGTAGGAACCTTGTCTATCTTGCTCCTAGGTCTCTACAGTGTCCAGCTGTTATTTAACTACTTGTTGAATTATTGAACATGACTACCAGTTTCATAGTTCAAGATTCCAAAAACATTTCTTGATGTCCTCATTTACAAATAGCCAGCAATATCATGCTTGAGCCAAACTCTACATGATGTCTCCAATGATCTAATTAATTCAACACAGGGTCTGATCTCACAACCCTTCGGCAAAGAGTTCAAGCTTCATTTGACTTGATCTTCTCTGTTAACCACTCTCACCCCCAAGTGAATGAAAAGACATTAAGGGCTAACATCCTAGAACTGAAATATAGGAAGTTTATGACTCTTCATTTTCAAATCCTGGAGTGCAGAACAGAGACATGTAGGCTAATAAATTGGTCTCCTTCAAACCACTACTTACTGGGTCTTTGCTAGAGGACCTGCTGAGCTCTGCATGGGGGAGAACCAAGCAGAAGGACCACTGGGGTAGTCTGCCTACCGCCATGGTTACAAACAGTCCAGCTGGGGCTCCCAATTTTTATATCCCAGTAGGAAAAAACAGGAGCCCTGCAGTAAATCATCCCCACTCTCCTCTATATTCTTATTACTCCCTTCTTCCCACCCCTAAGGAATTCATCAAACCATTCCTTCCAGCCCTAAAAGAAGTGCTGGTATTATTTCCATCTCTTTGTATTCCATGGATGTGTTAGCGCACTATGGACATTTCTGTGCCCTTATCAGTTAGTGCTCCAGGCAGTTGTCCAGCTGGTCTGTCTTTAATCTGACCCCATTGGCAGCCATTACTTGAATGAAGAAGGCAATTTAGTTGAAACTGCAGTTGCTGTTCTTCTTTTCTCAGGGGTAGGTAGCCCATCCCGAGGTCTTCTTGCTGATGGTGTCCAGGGGCCAGGTTTCAAGAAGCTCAGTGGCAGCCGTGCGAAGCAATATAGGAAAAGGCCATGCTCCTCCAAAGGAGTGGGTTTTCTTTCTGTCTCAGCAACTGTAAAATTATAAATCAAAGATTATAAAGTTAAGCCATGGCTCAAGTGAGGATCTTGGTAAATACGCGGCTTAAAGAAAACTCGATGACAGATTCATTGGCATCTACACGAAGTCTGTGGTTTTCCAGACAATGCAGCAGAGACTTGGGAACACAGAAAGCATGCCTGAGGATTCCCCACTCCTGCATTTGCTTTGCTGTCCCAAAGAAAGAGAAAAAATGTGTAATTGTAATTGCATACAATTAAATCTGCATGCAGAAAAGATATAAAATGAGTGGGCCAGGGAGAAGAAGAAAGACAGTCCCCAAAACAGCCTCTGCTTCCTCACAGTGCTTCACAGGGCTGGCCTGAGTGGGAGCTAAGTAAATAATTATTTTTGGAGAAAAACATGGATTTAAGATCCTATGAAATGTTAAAAGCCCAGTGACCCATGCCTTACCCAGTTCCTGGGCGACCAAAATGACTGTTTCCTAAAGTCATTAACAAAATAACACAATGGTCCAGATGAAGCATCACTAGTTTAGGGCATTTCTTCCAAAAGCACCATGGGAAATGTGTTATAGCACCATTGCCAAGGTACCAGGCGAAACCACCAAATCAGTGACTGGCTTCCACCCCCTTCCTTGATGTGCCCTCTGTCCTTTCCTCCGGCTCCAGGAACCCAGTGTACATGTGTTGTTATCCACCCACTCAAGTTTCTTTAATTCAGAATACCAGTTAAACTGAAAGTCTTCCAATAGCTAGATTTACTCAAATCCTAGAGTATTAACAGTTGGTGGCTTTAACATGCCCATGGGATATTTGCAATTTAAAAATGGAGCTCATATACATGAAACTCTTTAACTACTGGAATATGGGAAGAAGAGAGAGGAGGGGTTAAGCGAGCAAGGAAAGAGGAGGGGCTTCCCAGGCTTGTTTAATCTCACGACCAATCCACACCAACTACCAAACCTCTGAACAGTGGGCTTCAGCAACTTTGCCTCCAATGACATTACACAGCTGCTAACCTGGGACTGAGATAGTAGTTATATCCTCAGAGCACCCAAAAAGGAGGAGCCTCTACATGTGAGCCTGGAGAAAAGGCACCTACAGATATCAGTGATCTTGTCTGCATTCCAGTATCTAACCCTGTTCCAAATCTCTCACTTTACAAAGAAGCAAACTGAAAAGCGAGTGGCCTACCTAGTGAAACACTGGGACTGACTAAAATGTGGGGCCAAGACTGAGCCTAGGTCTCCCAAATCCCAGTCCACAGCCCTGCCCAAGTAAGTCCCCATGAGCACAACACATTGTCTTTGCTCCAGACACAGACAGGAAGATCATGTTCTTCAAACTCTAGAGCGGTATTTGGGTAGTATCTGAGTAGTAATTTCCATTTCTAGACAACAATCTGGTTCAGTGGGTCTAAGAGCAGTATTTGGGTAGTATGAGTAGCGATTTCCCCTTCCTGGACAACAATCTGGCTCATTAAGTCCAGGGAGACACAGGAATGTTAGCTCATTCCCTGGGGGATTCTGATCAGTGAGTGTAGGAACCACCCCTACGTGCTTCACGTGTTGTTCCTCTACCTATCAGCACCATGCAGCCAGTTGAAGGTCCCCCTGAGGGACTGCTTGGAACATCTACTGGAGCCTAAAGATCAAAAGACTGTGACCATTGGTGCACAAGTCAGATCCCTGAAGGCAAACCAGAGCCTCAAACAAAGAATGATTAAAATGCACAAGAAAGATTTCCTCTTAGGCCCTGTTGACCTTAATGACTTTGTGGCTAGCAATATCCCAGCAATACCCTCCAGGTTCCTGTATAATCAATCTTCCAACACAGTGCTGAGCCCCTACTTTGAGTAAGACTGTACCCAGGGCTGAGATGGACAAAGCAAAGTAAGGCCTGGTTGTAAACAATCTATTAGGGAGATGAGACATGTATACTTAAGAAGAGTATCAACATGACAGAGCAGTGTCCTTGAAGATGGAACACAACACCACAGCTCAGTGTCATACAGGCATGTCCCATGCAATTAAATGATTTCCATACCCATTGCCTGGCAGAATCTTGTAGCAGATCCT